CGGGGAGGTTGTTGAGGGAGAGAGAGAGAATTCCGGGCGTTCGTTTCTCGAGGTTGATTGATTCTGGTTCCGCTGCCGCGCTACCACGCCGGCGAGTTGGTATAATCCCGTATCTTCCCACTCCGCCCCGCCGCCGCCTTGTTTCTTTCTTGGTGAGGTGAGGGTGCGCGGTAGAGCCGAGTTGTCCGTGAGCCCACGAGGTGTTTGGATCTGATTGTGTGAGGCAGTTCGTCGAATGCTCCTAGGTAGTAGTAATTGGCGGGTTTTTAGATGATTATATTCGGTATATTTTTTAGGGTCCTTGTCTGATCTCGTTCACACCTTTCGATATGCCCGATGCTCGTATGTAGGAACTGGGCCTTCTGCGGTTGCCAGTCTCCAGTATTGGCAATGAGGACGAAATGTGGGGGTAGATAGGCGAGGCTGTGGCTGTTTTAGGGTGTGAAACTTACCTAGCCGTTTTGGATTAGAAGTCACCCCTCCTCGAATTAGGAATTCGTACAAAGAATTTCACATGTAGTTGATGGATACATCATGTTCTGCTAAAACACCAGGATTTCTTGATTTATTTATGTGCGGAAAGTATCCGTCTTCTTTCCAGCTAGGTGTGTACCCAAGTACTGACATTCTCTTCTGTCCAGTGTTCACCAGGAAGTTCAGCCGAGTGTTGAGGAATGGGGCAAAAGGACTCCAAGCCGTCGTATAACTCTGGGAATTCATCCAACGGGTACAACTCGAGGTATGCAAACACGCCCTCCAGTTACAGCCCGAGGTATGCCTCTTCGGCGGGTAACAACGTGCAGCAGCCAGAAGCACAGGCCAGGCTGCAGAGGAAGTATTCCAGGATCGGTGACGACTACCGTTCCGTCAGTCAAGTATGTATTGATGGCCTCTTGTGCCTTCAGTTCTCTTGTTTTCCTTTCCCAATTTTTGATGCATGGTTGTCAACTTGATGTAGCTGAATGGTACAACCATTCATCTTATTCAGTCGTCTCAGGTGGATTTTGGAGTGTAAACTATCTTTGGTAGAGTTAGTTTTATCTATATGAGTATTTCTAGAAGGATAGTGCTTTAAGTATTCTGGTCGAGAAATCAAATTAAATTTTGCATCAGCGAAGGAAGTTATCTCTTGCTCGATATGAGTATTTTCTGCAATGTTGCAACCATTTAAAAAATTCAAGCCACCTGCATTAATCACGTTCTTTTCAATTGTACTAGCTTCGGGGACATACAGTCTTCTCTTATATAATTTGCACTTATTTTCGGCAGTGAATGCATTTTTCATGGGCCTTCCTCTTCTACAATGTTACTTACAAGTGTGCAATTACTTACAAATATGAGAGGCCGTACGATAGTGTATACAGATTTTGGTTCTCTCCTAAGTCCTAGCCTGTCATATTCTCAGCATTAATTTGACTGGCATGACGATTTAATGATATGGTACTGTCCAAGTGTACTTCGTCTGACATTCTATCAATCTTAGGCAGTTTTTGTTTGTATGGTAGGATTCGTAATCCATGGTTTGATGATGATAAAATAAAATTTCCTGCAGTTAGATTTTACTTCTCCAAAGAAACTGACATGTTCTATAAAATGTGACTGCTACTTACTTTCCAGTGCATTTTCAGTAAAAACCTTGATATCTGCAGTCAGACTTGTGGACCATTAAGCTGACAACTATAACAATCAACTAAATTGGGTAGTTCGAAGGAGGCTGCGTCCTCGCTTAACAGGTCGCCTGTGACCACTTGCCTGCGTTAGATTCCATCAGAATCTCCGGTGACTCTTTGTTTGGGTTCCTTGGAGGATGTGTAATTCTGTTGAATTAGGTCGCGCGTCTGTAGTATAACTGAAT